GTACTTCTCCCAGATTTATTGAATACTGACCTATTGGACCCATTTGCTTCATATGGACCATTTGAATTAAATGAAGGTAGCCCATTTGAATTAGAGTGACCTGGCCCATGTGAAGTATTAAAAGAATTTGCCTTGACATTACCTTGACCGTTGGATTAGGAGGATGAATTTGAGCCATTGGATTTTGCTCCATATAAAACAACTCCATCATTCACTTGCCCCTCATGAACTTTATTTTCCCCACCGTTGCCTTCACTCTTCTGTCCATCACTACCCTTTCTTTGTGTCACGGTGAAGGCAACAGTGTCCTTGGTTTGAGAGCCATCATGGGAGCTTAGATGTTGGCTCTCATCTTGCATAGCCAACTGGTAAGTGCAGCAGAGCATCGACGTCGGCGTGGTGGCAAGCATCTATGTTTTGAAAGTAAAAAAACTGTTATTTAAACCCATTAAAAAGTGGATCAAGCAATCCTGATCATAAACAGTTTGATTTGTTGAACCACCATGGCCAGCACTTCTAAAGGCTCGACTTCAGCATCTAATTCATTCCAAACCGCTGATAAGTGATTGAAATAGGTAGTCACCAATAAGTTATGCTATTTGATTTCGGTGAGAGATTATCGTAAGGTGAATATCTTAGCCAAATCAAGCTGGCCGTACATCCCATGTATGTTTGCCACATTTCTTGAGCATTTTTTGTTTGTGGTAGTCCGGCAACAATCTCCTAGGTCAAGGAGTTGCTGATCCATGCTCAGATGAGTGTGTTACAGCGTTTCCAATGCTTGAGAAGATGCAGTTCGACTGGTGGAGGAAGGGTTCAATGAACCCTTCCTTATCCTTTGTGATTAATGATCGGTAGGAGTCACGGGCCTAAGTGGCATAGTTTCTGGATCCCGCGAGTGGTTGCTTGACAAGAACCAACTCATTGCCATCAAATGTCGAGGAGTAGAGAGGGTCATCGGGTTCTAGTCTGTTGCGATTGTTTTGGATGATTTGGAATAACGAGTAGGGATTTTGACCCATTGGGTTGGATGTTTGACCTATGAACCCGAATGGGTTTGGGCTAGATTGGGTGTGGGTTTGATCAGAATTTTGACCCGATCTAGAATTATGGTTTTGATTTTGGTTTTCAGTTGACTAGTTTGAGGGTGGTGGAGTTGTGATTTGCAGGTTGGTTTTTGGATCTATAAGGGAAGTTATCTAGTTAAAATTTGGTAATATTGTAGATTTTGTAGTCTTTTGTAAAAGAAAATACTAACCCAAGTGCCTTTTGCAGGTTTTGGAATTCTGGCGAAGAAGGATTTGCTTAATCCAAGAGGCCTTGATTCATTGAATTTGAAAATGTTGGCTAGAGAGGGCTGCTGAGCGGAAGCAAAAATTAGACAAGATGCTCTAATACCATGTCAAAATATGAGCGATAAGATACAAAAGAGACAACTGAGTTGCCGAAGAATACAAGAAGAGGACAGAATGTAAGAAGACTTTGCTGTATATTTTGTTCTTAATAAAGTAATTGTTGAAGTTGCTCCTAGATATCTTGTAATCTGCCTGATTCCGAGATGCATAATTCTAGCAGTCAATGATGCATATTTCCAGTAGTCAAATGATTTCCTTTCCGTATTACATCAAATAGGACTTTGCGCTCCCACCCCTTAGGGCTAGGTTTGGTTTGTGGATTAAAAATGGATGAAATGAAAGTAGGCATGGCAATGTTTCCCGGGATTTCGGGGACCCGTCCCGCTCCGCCCCATATGGGGCGGGGAAGCCCCGATTTTTTTGGGGATAGGGGCGGGGGTGGGGGTTGTTTTAATCCCCGTCCTCGGGGATGGGGCGGGGGTGCGTGATGCCTTTCCCCCGACCCGCCCCGTATATAATATATAAAATTAAAAAAAAGTATATATATATTTACTTTTCACTAATATCCCTATATTTCACCTAATTACACAATTATCCTACCTATATAAACCCATATTTTCCTAATTTCCCTCACCCTAAACAATTGAACAAGAACAAACCCTGACCCATATTTATGTATAATTAATTATGTTTAAATGATTAATTTAAGTGTTTGTCATATGGACGAGAATTAACTATTGTGTTTGGTAATGTTCAAATTAATTTATGTTTATATAAAATTAACGGGACGGGGACGGGCCTCCAACATTCCCCTTTGGGGCGGAGAAAGGGAATTCCTGTCATCCCCGTAACGGGGATGGGGCGGGGGTGGGGATGGGTATGGTGAATGAGATCCCCGCCCCGCCCCGCCCCATTGCCATGCCTAAACGAAAGTACTATAAATGAATAGAATGAGATTACTTTATTAGTTTTAATAATAATAATAATAAATAACGAGGTCTAACTAGTAAATTAAACTGCAATATAGAAAATATTATATAACAAAGATACGACAATTAACGTGGTTTGACCAAATTACCTTTGTTCATGAGTAATGATGTTGGTTTTACAATATTAGCTGATAAAACAAGAGTTACAAAATAGGGACGGGGATCTTTTCCGCCTTTTTCTTTTCTTGGTTGTCCTTTGCTCTAAAATGATATAATAACATATAGTGATTGAAAAATTCAATAGTTAAGATTTAAAATATACAGTTTTTATCTCCCGTTACTCAAAATAAAACTATTTTTTTATAATTATTATTTTAATCTTGATTAAGAAATAATGAGAAGCTTTTACACCAAACTGAAAAAAACGCTTACCTTATGGTGTGTTATCCAAAGCTTTTCTATAAAATAAAAAAAATAAAAATAAAGCATTGATAATTAATAATATACGCTTATCTTTTAATTAGATGAAAGAGACTGGGATTTAGGGTTTCTAAAACATATGAGAACTCTCGATTTGTCATTAAATTCTAGTCATTTACATGGGAGAAATATAAATAGTAAATTTGGGCTATTAAATTTTTTAATTAACACATGACCTAAGATGTTAAAAAGCTAAAGATATATAACCAAGCTGAGAATCCAAATCCAAAAGATACACCCTTACAATAATTTACCAAGTAAAAAACAAACTCAATCGACAACAAAATCCAATCTTGTAGAGAGTTTTGAAGCCATGCACAATCTCACACAGCTCAACCAATTAACACCAATACATGAAATATTTTTATTTTGAACACAAAAAGTTATTTGCTTCCATCTTTCTTACCATTATGGATTTCTCAATCTTGATTCTTCGTCCAGACTGCTAGCTTGTCAGGGTCAAAGGGAAAGTTTTCCAAATTGAAACAATGGCTCACCTCTGCATGATGTAGAAAAGGCATATCCTTCCCCAAGTTCTGCCAGTCCAGGACTAAATTTGGCAGGAACATTAAACGGAGACCCTCCAGGGTCCATTTGGAGATGCTACCATCTTCAGTTTCATCATCAACACTCATTGGTAAGTGGTTGATGTCTCCGTCCTCAAGACAAAGATATTGCAGGCTTGGAAGTTGCTTGGGATTTATCCATTTCGGCAAAATTTCATGACGATAATGCTCCAGATAAAGCTGCTCAAGGCTTGGAGGAGGTGAAAGATGATCCAGCATTTTTTGTATACTTTTGTTCTTACAATTTTCTGCATCAATAGCTAAAACCTTAAGATTTGTCAGGTTTGAGAAGATATTCCATTCATCATCGGTCACTTCACTCGAAACACTCAATCGTAGAACTCTTAGCTCTGTCAGGTATTGTAGCTCACGAAGCTGACAACTTCTTGAGTTAGCCTGACTCTCCACCCGAAGTCCTGACAGTTCCTGGAGATGAACTAGCTTTTCTAGTCCGTTAGGCAGGTACTGCAGTTTACAAAATCTTAGGTCCAAGATGATCATTTTCTTCAGATTATAAATTGATGAATGAAGTTTGTATAAATTGATGCATTTCCTCAAAACCAAAATTTGGAGGTTAAGAAGCTTTTCAATTGAATGTGGTACTTCCTTGAGGCTTTCAACTCCACTTAAGTTGAGATGTGCAAGGCGTTTAAGGGAACAGAGCCACCTCCAGAGACGCTCTACTTCAATTGTATCCAGCTTATTGTTAGAGAGATCCAACACCCGTAGCGACTTGAGCAACTCCAAGTTCATATCAGATGAAACATGATGGTTTGCCATCAGTAACAATGCCCTCAACTTTGAACAGTTTTTCAATAATTTTGGGTTCATGTCAGAGGTGAAACCTAACCATCGAGAATCTTCTGCCTGTTTCTGTTTGCCTTGTCCATCGAAGCTACAAAATGCCTCCTCGTTTGCAATCTTAGGGCGAACAGCCCTTAAACCAAAAAAAGGGTTTGGAACCCTTCCCCTATTTCTACATTTCATTCTCTATTCGGCCCGCCTCAACCAAAATGCGAAAAGGGGAGAGGCCTATTGATTCGAAGTCACTACGAAAGGGTCGGTCAATAGCATAGCTTTTTCTTTCCCGGGTCTCCTTTCGAAGGAAAGGCCTTCGCATTCCTAATCCGGTAGGGCCGGCCGGCTTTGTTTGCCCCAGCTTGGCGAATCGCATCCCCGCGCAACGACATTGTTTGTGCGCCCCTTACCGTTCTCGCTCAGTGTTTTCAACGGCTGGGGAGACAGTCGTTGAAGCGAAGCCTATCGCCACGCCGACTATCAAATACGAGATTGGGCCCCTTCTCAAAGATTTGATGGAATGGCCCAGCCCACCCAAGAGCGCTTATGTCATATGGGAACTCATGGCTGGAAACAATCCTTATGGTTTTGATATCCGGTAGGAATAATAAGAATCAAAGTCCAGGTTGGTTGGTGAGCCTAGTGATAGGAGACTATCTAGCTTGGTTCGGAGAGCACTTGTTGGGTTAAAGATTTTTTTTGTTGCTAAATGTTACGGCCTAAATGCTGAACTATTGACCCTACTTGTTCGGATGGGTGTTCACCCCAAAGTGTTCCCGGACCGCATGCATACATCCGTAAGTAACTTAGTGCAACATGGCAAATTTCATTGAGAGGAATCAGCAAAGAAAAGAAAAACGGGTCAACATCTTTCAGTAAAGAGAGTTGTAGATTCGTAAGATTGGCGCAAGTAAGGCTGCTATTGTCTTTATTGCCAGAGGAAGCCCGCCACATTTCTCCAAGATGTCCCCGCCCACTCTTTTTAAACGATCATTGGAGCATTGTCCCCTGCTCCTGGAAAATGCGAACTTGCAGAACAATAACCAACTTTCCTCCTCATTCAAAGTTCTTGGCCGATGAATCCGCGAGTTGTCAACCCCCATATGCTTTACAACATCTTCATTTCTTGATGTGATGATAAAGAAACTGCTTTCACCGCAAAAATTCTTCCACCAATCAAGATCCATTCTCCAGACATCGTCCATAACAACAAGACACTTCTTATCACGAAGTACACGGCGAATTTGGGCCCACTTGCTGCTTTCATCAAATCCAGTTCCTTCAATACCTAACTGTTTCATCATGATCGTCGTAATCCGTTCTTCGCTGAAACTCTGAGAAACTGGCACCCAAATCATCTTCTCAAAGTAAGCAACCACGTCTCTATCATTGAAAATTTTCTGGGCAATGGTGGTTTTTCCCAAGCCTCCCATCCCCACAATTCCGACATGGTGAAATTCCTTATTACTTTCTAACATCCACCCTTTTATCTTTTCAATGTCATCCTCCAAACCGATGATCTCAGATGGGTCATAATACTGTGAGGAATATTTTACTATTTGATGCGCATTATTTCCCCTGTTTGTTGTCAATTCCGGTCCCAAAACCGAGCTCATTGTTTTCTCCATCTCTTGAAACCGTGAGTTAATAAGTTTCAATTTTTTGCCTGTTCGATACTGGAATGCGATTTGACGAGGCGATAAACTCGAGCAAACTGACCCATGTTTCCGATACTCATCTCTAAGTAGGCAATCTGTGAGTATGTCATCAGCTTCATATATAAGTTTTCTGATATTAGGCAAAATCTTCTGGGCCATTTCCCGATGATGAGTCTTGAGATTGTCAGTGGAGGAGAGGAAGGCCGTCATAAGCTCAAGCTTTATCTTCATTATTCCAAACTGATCTTTGAAATCAAATGCAATTTGAGCTTGATTAAGTAAAGCAGTGAACAATTTGTCTGTCAGGACTTGAATCATGGCATCTGTCGCCATCACTTCCCTTTTTAATTGTATCTGTATAGTCGTGATCAAAATCGTGACAGTAAATTAATTATGATGACCTTACTGAGAAATTCTTTATCTTTATTTATTTATTATTACTATTATTATTTTTTTAAGTTATGAATGGATGCGCGCACTTTGAACATTGTTAACTAGAAATATATATTCGATTACCATAGGAAACCAAGAGAAACTCTCGATAATAGGTGGAATTGAATCATTTTTTTATTTGACTGCAGAAATCTTGAAAGTTTTAAAATCTAGACTAATTTTTCTCGCATAGAAAAACTAATCAAATACAGAATCTCAATTAAATTTCTTATCCTAGTTTCCTAGATAACTACAAAGTTGTGATTTAAACCAAAGATCTTGGTTCAGATTTAAAAGATAAGGATGATTGATAATATACATCAACCACAAATGTGATTTGTGCTACATGTAGATTGATAAATGACTTAAATTACTCTTGAGTTTGAAAAAAAAAAAATTTAGGTACTATTTTCACACACACAAACAAGGAGCTTAGCTATATCTAAAAGGGCATTCACAACATACCTGAAGTTTGCAAGAACTTGATGGAGAGTAAGCGGTAGAGCTTTCGAAATCGAAAACTTTTACGGACTAGCTTATTTCTTGCAAAGAGTATAAATGTTAACAAGAACAGAATAGGATGTCAAACAAATTAATTAACAATATACCTCTATGTAAGACAGCTTTGAATCATATTCTATTAGTCGAATAAAGAACCAATATAAAAATTTGAGAATACTACTTTTCTTCTTGCATCAAGTTGTGAAGGAACAATTAAAAATTAAAAGACAGAAGGAACAGGCTGCGAAAGGAAAGCAGAGAATGTGACAAACATTAGAGGAGAGGAATGAATTTGACAGAGAAAGAAAAAATATAATTATTTCTGTCTGAAGCAAGTGATCTCTTCGTGCACAAAGATAAGGAAAGGATGAGAATAAGTTAGCTTTGAATCATATTCTCTTGGCTGAATAAAGAACCAATATAAAAATTTGAGAATCTTTCTTCTTGCATTAAGTTGTGAAGGAACAATTAAAAATTAAAAGACAGAAGGGAAAGGCTCCAAAAGGAAAGCAAAGAATCTGACAAACATTAGAGAGTGTTCGGAGATCGCGCAACGGAAAACATACATTCGCAATGAATAACATAAGATTAAAATCACACCCCACAAAGAGACACGATATTTACGTGGTTCGGCATAATCCCCCTACATCCACGGATGACAAAAGTCCACTATAGTTTCATGAACATGATATATAAGAGTACATTACACCATAAACCAGTACATAAAACAGAGCGGAAACAATCCTAGTTTCTAACCACCATCGACCCAGTACCTAGAGTGGAAACAATCTCAGTTTCTAAGACACTATCCTCATAGTGTTTAATAACCCTTACATCAAATACCCTATGTTCTCACATTGTCTCATGACCTTGAATTAGTTCTCACCCTTATATTTATAGGTAAGATATGAGCGAGATATTCTAATTCTAATATGAAGAAGTTTTAACCAGCCAACAAAACCAGATAAGAAAGAAGAATCTACACGTAAGGGAGTTCTTTTAGACAATGAAGATTTTCATTAACTAAATTAAGACTAAGCTATAGGGCACTTATATGTAGCTTTTACGAAACGCACCGTTTTAAATACTAGTTTGTATTTTTACAAAGTGAACCCAGCTTATTACAATTTAACCCAAGACAGATATACAGCTTAATATTTCCCCTGAAACTTGACCTTCTTGCCGATTCATGCCTCTTTGTAGTAGTCTATTGTTTCGCCTGAAACTTGACTTTCCTGCACATTCATAGTTCTCTTGAAACTTGTCGATTCATTGTAGAGCAGGCAATGATGATGATGCAGGCAGCTTAGATGCAACAGTCAACAAAAAAATTAACCAGTCAATGATGATGATGCAGGCAGCTCAGATGCAATATGCAACTTTTCTCTTAACTCATGAAACTTGTTACTAGGAAGGGTTTTAGTGAGGGTGTCAGCTATTTAATAATCTAAAGCCACATACTAAACACTTAGTTGTTTTTCAGCTACCAATTCTCTAACATAGTGAACGTCAATCTTGATGTGTTTCATCCTAGCATGAAACATGGGATTGGCTAACAAGGCTCCAGCACTTGTATTATCACACCAAATTACTAGAGATTTGTTAGTACTAATCCCAAGTTCCTTAAAGAGTTGCTGAAACCATACCAATTCAATGGCAGTATGACTTAAGGACCTGCACTTGGCTTCGGTGGAGGAAAGAGACACTACCTTCTATTTCTTGGAGCTCCATTGCACCAGGTTTCTACCAAGAAAAACAGTGTACCCACTTGTAGATCTTCGATCATCCACATCACTCGCCCAATCTACATCTGCAAAAGCTTCCAACAAGAGATTTTCTTATCTTGTAAATAGCAAACCATGGCTTAAAGTGCCTTTTATGTATTGTAGAATTCTCCTGCAAGCTGTCCAGTGTGCAATAGTGGGATGTTGATTAAACTGACTTAGCTTATTAACTGCATAAGCCAAGTCAGGTCTGGACAGGGTTAAATACTGCAATCCACCAATGATACTCCTGTATAATGTGGGCTGGTCAAATAACTCACTATCCTCCTTACCAAGTTTAACACCAGTGGCCATTGGAGTAAGACAAGGCTTTGAATATGTCATTCCTTCCTTTTGTAGTAACTCTTGTGCATATCTTGATTGAGTGAGTAACAAGCCTGATGCATTTCTCCTTACTTCCAAACCAAGGAAATATTTAACAACCCCCAAAGTCTTTAAAGCAAACTGATTGTTCAAATCTGTTAAGATCTGAGTAATGAGCTAAGAATTGTTCCCTATAATTAAGATGTCATCTACATAAACAAATAAAAATAAGATAGAAGAGTCTTTAGTGTAAAAGAACAAGCTTGCATCAGATGTGGAGTTCTTAAAACCCCAATTAACTAGAGCCTTCTTAAGCTTGTCAAACCAAGCTCTTGGAGCTTGTTTAAAATCCTACAATGCCTTGTGTAATCAACAAATTAACATTTTTAGGATTGTGTGAGGGAACAAAACCTTCAGGTGGTAGCATATAAACTTGTTCGGTGAGGTCCCCATCCAAAAAGGCATTGTTTACGTCAAGTTGTTGAATCTCCCAGTTTTGGTGGACTGCTAAGGCAAGCATAGTGTCAAAATAATCAAGCCTCTGGGTTTGTTGAAACCTTTTAGCCACCAACCGAGCTTTATACTTTTGCAAAGAACCATCAAAGTTAAGTTTAGTTTTAAAAACCCACTTACTTCCCACTACGTTCATGACATCTTCATAGGGAACTAACTCCCAAGTTTTATTATTCAAAAGAGCTTGGTACTCAGCCCATATAGCATCCTTCCATTTGGGAATAGTTAGAGCTTCAGCAGCAAATTTGGGTTCTTTCAAAATATTGTGAGTGGAGAGTAAGGCTGTAAAGGTGGAGGCTGAGGTCTTAGAGCGTGTGAGCATGGGATGGACATTTAGTAGTAGTTTTAAAGACAGAAACAAGTGTTGTTAGAGGATGAGAAGAAGCAGATGGTAGAGGAAGGCGTACTTCTAACTGAATGCCGAGAGAGGTGATAGATTAAAGAGGAACTTAACTTTCAGTACAATCATGCTGAGAAGAAGACACTAAATGACAACCATCGTCAAAAGCAAAAAACACTATGTGATAAAGGGGGAGTGGCATGAGAGAGAGGTTGTTGTGTAGATAAGGGATCAACTGAATTGGTACTGTAGCAGAAGAAGAAGCATTTGTAACATTAGTGGAATCAGACTGAGGATGATAAGGTAATGACCATCCCTTCAAGTTATGAGCATAACAAGGCTTAGTAGAAGCAGAAGATAATTCAGCATCAAGAGAAGCTTTAAACTGAAAACTAGACCTATAAGGGAAGTCTGTGTCATGGAACTTAACTTGTTTTATAACAAAAATTCTGCCAGAACCTGACATACATTTATATCCCTTGTGGTTGAGACTATAGCCAAGAAAGAGACATTTTTATGAATGAAAGGCCAACTTATGTTTCTGATATGGCCGTAGATATGGGTAGCAACTACGTCCAAACACTTTAAGCTCATTGTAGTTAGGTGGCTATAGGAACAATGTCTCAAATGGTGAAGTAAAATCAATAACTAATGAGGGAAGTCTGTTAAATAGAAAAACAGCCGTACTAAAAGCTTCCCACCAAAATTTAAGAGGCATTGAGGCATGAGCTAACATGGACAGGGCAAACTCCGTGATAGACCTATGTTTACGCTCTAGCGGCCATTTTGTTGATGCAAATATGGACATGGATGCTGAAATTGAATTTCAAACTATTGTAAGTGCTTGGTAAATGGTCTAAATTCTCCTCCCCAATCTATTTGTAAACACTTGATCTTAGTCCCTACTTGTTTTTCAACAAATAGATGAAATTGAGCAAACATAGTGAGTGCTTTAGATTTCAATTTTAAGGGATAAACCCAGGTGTAACGGCTGATATCATCAACAAAAATAATGTAATACCTAAAGCCCTCATTGGAGAAGACAAGGGCAGGTCCCCACAAATCAGAGTATATAGGTTCCAAAGGAGCTTTGGCCCTAAAAGTAGATATTGGAAAAGTGCACTGCTGTAGTTTCCAAAAGTTTACAAGTTTCACAAAAAAATTCTTTATTCTCATCAATAGAAAATTTTACATTGAGTTGTTTAAGTACAGCATGAAGAGTCTTACTATTGGGATGTGCAACCGAGCATGCCAAATCATAGAAGACTCAGAAGAGTGCTTATTTATCATACAACCAAACTTATTAGATATTGTGGTATTAAGAGTAGCAGTAGTAGTATTCAGATAGAATTCTTCCAAAGTTGAGAGACTATGTGTGGATGATTGTTCCCCAACTAAGCAACCAGGCATATTGAGAGTATTGATGGGCAAAGTTAGATGATACAGTCCATCTTTCACTGTCCCTTGAAGTAGTATTCTTTTGCTATATTTATCCTTTATCACACAGTGATCTGAGTGAAATTTAACAATAACATAATTATCTTTTCTAATTTGAGATATACTTAATAGATTCTTAGCAACTTGAGGTACACAAAAGATATTTTGAAGTTCCAAAACTCTATTAGACTCATGAGAGGGCACCAGCAGCATACTGTATGTGTGATGGGGATGGATTCCCTATTTCCAACCTGCACCTTAGAGCTACCTGAATAGTTAGACTTTATCATTATGTTTGAAGCATTAGATGTCATATGATTAGAGGCCCTTGAGTCCATGAACCAAGATTGGTCAGGGAGAGTTTGTGAAGTATTACCACTTGAACCAGTAGCAGCCGAGAGTGGATACAAGGGTGCAGTGGTATTCCCATCACGCTAGAAATTGTAAGAAGAACTAATAGGTTATTGCTGAGATTGTTTTGAGTTAGCAATCATGAAACATACCCAAGGAGTTGACATGAGAGGGATTAAATGAGCCTTGTTGCATAAAGGAGTGTTAGACCGATCGTCACAGTCTAAAAATTAAACCTAAGTACCGTAGTTAGCGGTAAGCAGGATCGAATCCACAGGGAGCAAGACTAACAACCTAATGTATTTTAAGTAGCGAAAATGAAATTGGCAATGGATT